GTGCAAATAGCCCGCTTTGATGGCTACGGCTATTTACTCTAATTCCGCCCACCATTGTCTGGTTGAGCTAGACAGAATTACAAAAGAAACATCTTGGTTACATATGTAACCTTGGTTCCCTGAATAGGGAACAATGCATCGGCAGCTGACACTATGAGAACACCCCCTGGTGTGATGACCGTCTGAAGCCCATAAAGAAACAGACCAATTTAGTATCTGCTGGTGCTGTTGCCTCCCTCCCTGAGGCACCAGAGTTGTATCCATGCACTTCGTAAACATGCAAAGTGCAATCCTAAACCAAGGAAGTACTCAAAATTGATATAATTTGCCCCCAAAAGTGAACCTGAGAAACATCCTGTGTCTCTGAATGATCTGAATGTGGAAATAAGCATCCTTCAGATCTATCATGACAAACCAGTCCACCAGCCGAATCTTCGTGGAGATGTGCTTCAGTGTCCTAAGTCTAAAATGGGACGCAGACCTCCATTCTTCTTCAGCACTAGTTTTGAATGTAAAATCTGGACTTCGTTCTTGAAGGAGGCACTTTCTCTATGGCTCTTTTCTGCAAAAGGGAGAGGATCTCTAAAAACCAGGCTTTCCCTCCTTCCGCAGGTCAGGATCGGCCATGTCCTTAAGGATATCTGCTTGGTAGGCCTGCAGAACCGCCATGGTATGCAGCGCCGCACTAGCCTGACTGGTAGCCATATAAGATTTACCAATCAGCTCCAAAGTTGTTCTGCATGACTTGTATGTGAAGCATCTCCACAGCACACAACTTCAAGCAGCTCAATATAAGCTGATAAATGCAGTGCCTCTTGACCACTAGAGAGCAGCTAAACCGCTGCTGAACTCCTCAGAGTCCCGACAGCAGTGGTCATAAAAATGTCATCCAGAGACCACATCCCATGCTTCTGGGCCGGGACATAACAACAACATCATTATCAGCAAATTCAACCGGTGAAATAGGGTTAACATGCTCCAGTGAGAGAGAGAGAGAGAGAGAGAGAGATAAAAGGACCCACAGGGCTTTAGCGTGAGTGATGGGGTGTAGTCAGTCCCCTTCTTTCCTTGAAAAGAAGGTGGGCAGAGAACTAGGTATTTTAAAATACTTCTAAAGTACTCTTAAAAATCAGTGCATGCAACTAGCAGAGCCATTAAGTGCAGCATGATATGATGAATGGCCAAAAACTTGACACAATTACCGTGCAAGTCCTCACTCTTAAAATTAAGACAGCACGGAACACACTCCTGAAATAACACTGTGTTCCCCACAAGGAGTATTATGCACTCAAAGAGATTGCTGAACATGAAATCTAATCCTGATGCAAAAAGACAACTCATAACCATGGGCTAAGATGAATCGCTTCCTGAAGAGAAGAAATCTGAGGAATGATGCCACTCCCTTTTGAGGTGCTGGTGCAGCTCATATTGCAACTCATGCTCAAAACCAGGGTTCCTATCCTAGACCTTGGAGGACACCTTTACTGATCAGCAGGCTCAATTTGGTTAGTGTTAGGGCTAGGTGTAGGGGTGCAGTTGCAGTTGGTATAAAGAGCCATGGAATAAAGTGATATGCCATTAGATCTGTCACGTTATTAATTTAAAACCGTGCATGAGAGTAGATTCTGTGCAAAATACAGCAGTAGGCTGTAATGTTTAAAGCTTGTGCCTATACTTCTAAAATTTACTGCCTGGTCCAATTTTCTTTCATTGTTAGTGCTTTGCTGTAAGCATTTTTTTTTTAATTGAAATTTAAATTATTTATGGCAATTAAACTGACAGCATGCCACAAATGTTGTTAATAGGGCATTGCTTGTATTGAATTTGGAACAATCATTCCTTTATAAGCATGTGAGAGTTACTCGGATTATGAGAATGAGATATGATACAGTAGAGATGTTCATGTTCCTGTCCTAACTCTAATACACTAGTTTGTATACACTAGTTTAGGGACCAGTTCTCACTAATAACTAGTTGCTTATTAGCATCCATATTACTAGCGTATTGTTTATTAGTACTTACAGAATAAAGCACATATTACTGCCTTATTCTGCATGACCATATTTTACAACTACCTTACTAACTATTAATAAGCAGAATATTAATTTTATTTAGGCAAAATTTGTGAGAATGGGTCCCAAACTAAAGTGTGAGTGAAAAATGTAACATTTTGCAATCACGGGTTCACTCTAGAATTCCTTATGGACAGCAGTTAAAAGCAGGGTGCGAATTACGCAGTGACCATCGGGGGGGGGGGTCAGAGCGTTGCCTTAAAAAGGAATGTTCCAGGCTAAATAGTATTTGTGGCATAATGTCTGTTATCATAGAAAAAATATTCAGTGTACACTTTTTACACAAGTGCAAATAGCCCGCTTTGATGGCTACGGCTATTTACTCTAATTCCGCCCACCATTGTCTGGTTGAGCTAGACAGAATTACAAAAGAAACATCTTGGTTACATATGTAACCTTGGTTCCCTGAATAGGGAACAATGCATCGGCAGCTGACACTATGAGAACACCCCCTGGTGTGATGACCGTCTGAAGCCCATAAAGAAACAGACCAATTTAGTATCTGCTGGTGCTGTTGCCTCCCTCCCTGAGGCACCAGAGTTGTATCCATGCACTTCGTAAACATGCAAAGTGCAATCCTAAACCAAGGAAGTACTCAAAATTGATATAATTTGCCCCCAAAAGTGAACCTGAGAAACATCCTGTGTCTCTGAATGATCTTAATGTGGAAATAAGCATCCTTCAGATCTATCATGACAAACCAGTCAGAATTATGCAGTGGGGGGGGGTATTTTTTATGTTTTAAATAGGGCTGTCAAGTGATTATTAAAAAAAAAATGAATTACATAATGTGCCGATTAATTAATCAAATGAATCTCAAATTAATGAGATTAATTAATTAACATGTACATCATGTGCCGATTAAAGATAACTATTATCTTTAATAATAACTTTATCATTGTGTTTATTTAAAAAAAAAAAAACTGAATAGACATTAAAAAAGGTAGCTGAAATATAAGTAGCTTAAGAAAGAAATATTTTAATTCAACATAATCACCAAAAAGGACAAAAGTGTAGCCTATATGTAATCCATACACCTCCATTGATTTAATCCAAATCTTCAGAGGACAAAATGAGCATACTGTATGCATGAAGAACAGATCAAAAATTCAAGCAAATCTAATCATTTTGTTCAACAATCAATAAAAACGCTCTAAAGGGACTTAAGGTAAGAGATCCGTCCTGCTGGAACTTCACATGCAGGGCAAGGTTAAACTAGAAATTCTGTCTTCATCTACACACCCTTCATGCCATTCCAAACTTGTATTCAATCACCAAAAAGGACAAAAGTGTAGCCTATATGTAATCCATACACATCCATTGATTTAATCCAAATCTTCAGAGGACAAAATGAGCATACTGTATGCATGAAGA